GGCAGCACAGTTAATGTAAAAACCCATTTGAGCTTTTTGTCGTAGCTTAAATGAGGCAAATTAATTGTATTAGTAACGTAGTAAGACATTCCCTAACATACACGGCTCCGATTGGATGAATACTGTTCGGCATTGGCCCAGACATGGTGTGGAGTTTGCATGTTCTCCCCATGTCTGCTCCTGTTTTTTCAGAGTGCTCTGGTTTCTCATACCACTAAAAACATGTAGGTCTGGCGTCCTGTGTGGGGACTACACTTCCATCGCCGTGTGTGAGGAAAAATACGCTTTGTGACTCTTGTCTGTGGAAGGTGCTTTACAAATAAAGATTACTTACTTTTCCAAAAATGTCATCATATAAAATTGCATTGCCAAACCATCAGAGAGCTAATGCTAGTATGATGAACTAAATGGCTGCTTTATGGCTGGGTTAAAGGCGCACATGCAAACCTATATAAGTGAAAGTCTGCACACATGCTGGCCTTCAATTCAATTTCACTTTCAATTTTCACATTTTTGTGTTGATTCACAGATCAAAGAATCAAACAGTTACATACACACAGAAAATGCAATCATGAACAAACACTACAAATAGAACCATTGCAGATTGGGGCAGATGACCAATGTCCATAATTGTTCATACAGTAAATGTCCATAAATGTCGTTGCCCTCTCAATGAACAAAGACGGGTTCATCTCACATCCTCCAACCACGACTGACCTCCTCTTTTGCTCTGACCCTTGAGTGTGCCACATTAGCATATAGCTTTTAAGTCCAACTCAAACTTTTCTCGTGCTCTGCAGTAATTAGTTCAGAGGATGTACTATAGACACGCTTGTTATTCCAGTTCACCCCGGAGCCTTCAGTCCTGCTCCTGCCCCTCAGTGTTGTGTTTACTGCTGCCTGCAGCTGTATTTGACAGTGTTCACGCTGCTTTGACAGCACTTCAGCAACGCTCGGAGCATACGACTTACGACAAATATCATCTTTGAAATCCCTGCATTCAGCTGTTGTGCGTTCATCGTGCAGCAGGTTATCGTAACTCCATTTACAATTTGTGGTCTGGCAAAAATGTGTTGTCACAAAATTGATTGCGTATGACCAGCCTTAGACATTCACATGTGATTGTCTCATATTCACTAGAAAATCTCATGTCGTTGTGTAATACTGGGTGTGATCTGGGCGTGATGTAAATGCAGAATTTTAACACCCAATCCAATCCTGTGGCTTTCCCCCTGTTCTCAACGGGTGAAGAGATGATGCAGCTCGATATGACTCGGAAAGTCTGCAGATCAAATACGGCTGTAAGGATCAGATCTCAATATTAGCGATTGCACTGGGTAGACTCACACAATGGCTATTAAAATGGCTGGAGGAGGCTCTCTGAAATCAAAGCTGACATCTCTTTTCCACAGTCTGTCAGGAGTATTTGGTGGCTAATTTGAAGCTGCGAAAATCAGGCTGAGTGCGTGTGAGAGAGAGAGGTACTCCAGTGGGAGGTTAGTACGAGGGGGCGACCGAAAAGAGAGGCTGTGGGCTGTTATCTGTACAGTGACAGAACAAGCGATCCATTCACCGCCGTATTCTGGACACATCCATCTAGTGGGCAGTTAATGAGCTCTGCAAGTACATTGTATTTACATTTAAAGTGGCTGTTGTGGACTGTCATTCCCTCAGGTTGATTGGAGAGTCCTCAGCTTTGATTCACAAGTAAATACTGACCTTCAGGGTGCGTTGGTTCCACCGTGAGTCCTAACGGAGGCCGCATGTCACTCAAACCTTAGCTTCAGCTGTGATTTCAGACTAATCTTTGGTCGTTTTCGCTCATCATGTGTTGCAACCCAAGTGGGGTCCTCATTAGAACCAATTCGTGGCGTGACCTTTTAGCAGCTTGGCTCCCCCCACCACCTACGCCCCTTCACCAAGCTGGGCCAATTACCTTGCTCATTACTCCCCCCCCCAAATAGCAGGTACAGTCGCTAACTATGGAGATATTCCTGCGACTAAATGTAGGGGTGGAAACGTGGAATGATCTTGGCACTGTTCCACTTAAATACGTGTGTCCTTCTGCTAATGGGGGGCGAGTTTTCAGTTCTCCTCTCTTTGCAGTAGAATGGTGAGCTATATATATATTTTTTTTACTAGAAGTGATTAAAATTATGTCAAAAATGTGCTGTATGTATCTTAATTCGAGCACATTTTAACTGCCTTAAGACGAGATTTCCCCATACAAGAAATGTCTCCCTGGGAATGAGAAAATAAAGCAACAGTTGAAATAATACTAAATGGCTTTGTTCCATTGTACTGAAATTAAAATAACTATTATTATTACCTCCATTTTGTTTTTTGCAGTGTGTGTATTGATTTTTTCAAATTTAAATCAGTTCTGCGTTTGAAACAATATTTGACATATTTAGTAACCAATCCCCCAACCCGACCCACTCTCACTGCTCTTTCATTTTGCTATGACAGTATGTGAAAATACTTACTGCAAACACATAATATTCAAATTTTCAAGTTACAATAATCAAAAACTGAAATCACGCCTGGAGAAAAGTCCCAACATCCTCACTCTGTTTAAAATGTGGGTTGCAAATATCCTTGTATAAGTCCAGTTTACTAAATACTGTTTGTTATTCTTTCCATGGCCTCACAGAATGCCATAGATATGACCCAGGTTCCAATAACAGAAGGATGAGACTTTTTTCCAGCTGGTGAGCTACTGTACATCTGCGTTTTGACCTCTCCTCCGTCCACTATAGAGACTCCAACTGACTGGTAACATATAAGCCAGTTTGCATTTGCGTTGGTGACAAGATGGAGCCATCAGTGTTTGCAGCAGCTCTAATAAGCGCGAGGAGAGGAGCGGGTCAGAGATGGATGGGCGTCCTAAAAGTGGTGTGCTTAATTAGACGCAATGCTGCATACATTGTGGACTGAGTGGAATCATTGGGATAGATTAAAATACTAATTAAACGGCTGCATTTGGAGTGTGAGGTGGGGTTCAGCTCTTCAGGGCCATTTGCATAGCCTTCATCTGAGGAAATGGGATTTAAAGGACCTAACTTTCTCCTTTCAGCTTCACCAATCACATTCACAGGCTAACAAATGAAAATCATGGCTCATTTTGCTATTCATTCGTTAATTTAGCTCCATCTATGAAAACCTCTTTGATTTTGTTTTGCAAAATAAATGTTTTCATCAAAGTAAGGTGAGTGTGTGATCTGGGAGACTGGGTATTTAACAGTACCTTGCTTTGGTCTGATTTACATGGAGTATTGTTCCTGAGCAAAGATGTGGAAATAACATGCCATATTTGATTAGATCGATAGATGTGGGGATCTGACTGAGGTGCTGTATTAATTTCTGCAAGAACAAAGACAGTCAAGGTGCTGTGCTGTGAAACTGCTGCTCTCCATGTGCTTTATATGCGTGAGCAGCTCTGGTTCACCTGTGACGACCAACCACTGAGCTCCTGGACAATAGGACATTTACGCTCCCTTCTCATCCTGCAAATACCAGTTCAGTTTGTTTGCCATTTGCAGTAAAACCACATTGGAATACATGTGCAGAAAGTACCCCAGTATGCACCAGACTAACACATAGATAAGACAAGCTAAAAGTACAAGAGACAATTGTCGCTGCGTAAAAAATCAACAAAACAGTTTCAATAACAAGTGCAAGATCAACCCGAACCCAACTGATTTCAGCTTGTGGAAAGAAGCTGTTTGTAAATCGAGATGTCCTGCAAAAAGGAAAAAACTCAGTAGCAGGGTCAGACAAAATACTACATTTTTATTCTTCTCAATTTAAAAAGAAGTTGGGACATTGAACAAATCTTCTTGGAACTCTATTGCTGTAAGCCAGTAAAGGTGGTGAGGGGATTGATTGTCGAAGTGTATTAACTATGGCACTCTCTTATTGGTTAGAATGGCTTTATCATTTATGGCACCATGTCTTTCACCTTCAAATTTGACGCAACGCCATGCAATCTTTCAGAAGGTGCATTTGACAAGAACCGTTTAGATGTTTGGATGTGTTTGAATGATGTCCCTCAGCTTCACGCACACTGTCATACTGAGGTTTTTATAAGGAGATTCTGTCAACCTTGAATTTATAAGCAATATCCCTGATGCAACTTGATTATATCCTCAACCAGTGAAGAATGTTAGAATGTTAGAGCTTTATGTACAGTATGTATTCGATACCTGGTTGATTATTGTGGCCCACATGGAACACACTTTGTTTGTCCCAATAGAAAGAGTTTAAGTCACATTTTGAACAAATCAGACATGTCATTCTGTCTACATCTTAACAGAAGGCATTGTATCTTTTACTTATACTGAGAGCTGATTGGCTTAGTGAGGGCTGATAATCTGTTTTCAGAAAAAAGCTGATCTAAAGATGTGACAGAGGGCAAAAATACATGCATGTGAAAACCATTGATAAGAACCCGTTTTGAGATTCAGGAACTATGGTCACATGATTTGTCTTCCTCATACAGTAGTTATTTGTTGTGGTTTCTTTAAACAAAGGGGAAACTTCTTACACTCTTATACTTTTGTAACCATTTGCAACACATGCATTCCCATCTCACAGCTTTTACGAGTCCACCTTAACAGAGATATTCCAAGTGTATTTTGTTCGTGATAATCTAAAAAAGATCATATTTATGGTCCAAACTTCCACAGTTTAAATTGACGTAGGAAACTCTGAAGACTCCAAATGTTTTCCCCTATTATGCGCTGACTAAGCACACAACATGTCAGTGGGAGATGAACCTGTCGCCCCCTGCCCCTGTCACACAACCATCTCCCCCTGCACTCTCCACCACTCTCCATCGAGATGTGTGGGCCGGCCATTTTCTATGACCAGTTTGACATCTGACTCACTCTGTTACATCCCTTGCATCATTTCTCGGTTCCACTTGTTCTTGCCTTGGGGAAGTGAAAATTCTGCTACTTTGTCATCCTCACACCTCCTCTGCTTTTGTCTCTGTGCAGTGCAACAGAAGCAGCAGCTGGAGAAGGAGACGGGCCTGAAGATAGTGGAGGCTGGAGTGAGCGACGTAAGTTACCCAATCCCTGGTGCGGGGCGCGTGCGTGGGCGTGATTGTGTTGTTTTTGGGGCCGACGGGACGGGAATAACTCTGCGATTTGGCATCCACCTGCAGCTCCCGTCGCGCACTAATCTTCCACTGAAATGAATTCAAACACACATCCTTTTGAGCACGTTGCTTTCATTACCCGCGCTGCTTTCCTTTTGGTCCCTGAGTGCCGCTGTTGTCACCATGGCAAATAAAACATAACAAGACAAAAGCCGCGCAAATTTAGCTAAACTTAAAGTGGATCATGCCGCAGAGCCACAATAACTAGATTACCCTGAGTGCTGTCATTTTGCGGGGGAACTGTGATGCTCCTTTGATATATTCATTGTCAGAAATTAAGAGAAGAGCAGGAGGACACTCTGTGGATGCAAATGAAAGCGGAGTGAATGTGGATTCGTTCAACACTGATAAATATTCATATATATCTGAGGTAAGGATCTAATCAAGCACCCATTGATGCATCCGCGCTCGTCTGCTAAATGAGCTCTTCTATGGAAATGAGACAGACAGTCTTAGACCCCTGAGCTGCCCGGATCATGAGGCATGCTGGGAGCTAAATGGATGTGGCCTGTATACCGCCAGTTGCCAGTAGCAACAAGCAGTCACACACACAGTATAGACGAGATCATTTGCCGTTCCTCGTATGATGTCTCCCTTTTAGTGTCACTTCATCCATTCTCTCATTCTTCACCCATCTCCCTCCCACTTATATCTTTTTTAGACATGTTTTTTTTTTTTTACCCTGGTCCACATTGTGTCTCAACCACATTCCTCTCAATTATCTATGATTCAAATTTCTTCTTTGTATTTCCGCCAAGACTTTTGTCCTGCGCTTTGTCTGTCTTTGCGGCTTATTCCTACGCTTAGCTGGTGCCGTTGCGAGGCCGTGTTTGTCATATTGGGCCTATTTGTAGATAATTAGCTGCAATAATAGCCTCTCTGCAGGAGCCAAGCCGAGGGAGGGATGGATGGAAAAGGGGAGGTTGGAGAGGAAGGATGTCTCTTCTACCTCATGGGGCGAAAATCTGCGTCTCACCAATGTAAAAGCAATGCCACTTCCACTGTACTACAAATACAGAGTTGGCAAAGTTAAAAAGCTGAAAAGTCGCACCGGGTGCATTTAGCAGCTTTAGTCAGGATGTGTTGATCTCACCAATTCGCATCCAAGAGTTGAGAGGATAACGTTAGATTTTCGACAGAGACGCAGCAGAGTGGGCTTATTAAAGGCATTACTTTTAAAATGTGTTAAATCAAAAGACACGCTTTCAATAGTTTTTTGTAGTAAATTGCCCACTTATAAGAGTAAATTCAAGATGGCGGGCGCCTGCTTATTAGGGTATTCAGCCGGCGGTTTGCAAGTGGTTTAACGAAACGTAGAGGAAAGTGCGCTCTCCCTGCACTTGGATGAAAGCATTGTGGTCGCTATCATCAAGCCTCATCACTGACAACTCCCCCTTTGCGGTTTTTATTTAAGAGGTGACAAATGACAAAACAGCTTAGGAAGATGTCCAGATACAGACCTCGTCAATAGCGGTAGATGCGGACGGGGATAAGCAAATGTCAAAGTGGGGGGAAGGAGACATCAATCAATACGCGCTGTAATATCTACTCCATTATAGATCGCCGGGAAGAAGTTGGCCGCCCGTGTCGGAAAAAGAGCAGAAAAACAAACTTATTTATTTGTGTATGGCGTAAGTGATCAATTTGTATGTGTAGACAGTGTTGATTTGGCAGCGTAAAAGGCAGGTAATCAATTTGAACTGGATTGGAAACATAGTGGGCAAAATCGGAAAATTAGAATATCGTTCGAAATTGAATGACTTTTGTGATTCATCTCAAAATGACATGCAGAGAGAGATATATTAAGCCGTTCTATGTTATAATATTGATAACAGATTGTACAAATCAAACTGTAAAGGTGGATTACCGCTGTTATTGTTATATTATATGAGTACATGTTTTGTTATGACAGGAAGCAAGTGGCTAGTGCTAAATTTGCTACATTTGTCAGTCAGAAAAAGATTCAGCTATAGTCTACAGAGAAAACTAACATGAACACGGTTTAGAAGTAACAAAAATAAAGGTTTAGCTTGGGTTTCAAAGGGAACACGGTTTGTATGTACTGTATGTGAAATGTGTAAAGACTGTAGAGTTTTATAAATATGTTTAGGGTTACAATCAGTAAACAGGTTAGCAACAACAACTTACAACTTATTCTTGTATAGCCCTAAATCACAACAGAAGTCATCTCAGCAGACTTAACAAAACCATTGAAATCACCAACACAGATCAGAGAATCAACAGTTAAAACATAAAATATACACATATGAATTGGACCATAGGGAGAGACCAATGTCCATGAATGTTGATAAATGTCATACATGTTGTAGAATGTTAAAGTGTCATCACCACAGTCCTTCTAGTTGGACACTGACTGCCCAACAGACCCTCCTGCATCGGCAAGGAAAAACTCACAAAAACCCAGTGGGAAAAAAAAGAGTGAAACCTCGGGGAGACCCACATATTGAGAAAGGGATCCGCTCCGACACGGACGGACGGGCTGTAGATCCAGGACCTAAGCTACAGAACGAGGACCAATGCCACGCAGCAGCCGCAGAGCGTGGACAGGTCCGGTGCAGGACTGAAGCACTCCCTGGTGGGTTGGGCAGGGCAGTCCGCAGGTGTAGATGGAGGGGGCAGGGCAGTCCGCAGGTGTAGATGGAGAGGGCCATTTAGCTAGTAATGAGAAACAATTGTAAGGTTCACTGGTAATTTTGTATTTCTGTTCTAGCTTTTACTTTGGTTACGTGACTCAAAGAATGGTCATAATAAAAACATATTCAACCATCAGTCCTGGCTTCAACCTAAAAATCAACTGAATGCTACAAAAACATCTCAAAAAATGTGAATATTTCGAAAAGGGTCTGTAAGCCATAAACATCGACATTAGATAGATTAGATTTTCAATGGAATTACAGAAATAAACAAACTTTTAACGATATTCGACAAGTTTCACCTATAGAGACAGAGGTTGAATCTATTAATTTAAACGCAGATGTTGAGCATGAGCAAACCCATTTTTTTAAAAGGAAAAAGCGACCTACAAATATACAATGGTTATTTGGTGTTTTGAAGCCAATCGCTATGGTTACCCCTGATAGACAGGCAGAAATTATTTTGCTCTGGAGGAAAGGCCAAGGATAGAATATTGAACGGAGAATAGCAGTTTGGTAAATAATCTAATAATATAAACTGAATTGGATTTGTTTCTGAATGATTGCTTTGAAAATGAAAGCCTCCATTGCCCGTGCCAAGGCCTTAATGACTCGCGTTAATAACGATAAACAATAACCAGCTCTCTTCATTGAAATTTCCAGAGCAGAGTGCATTACAACATCCGATCTATCTTCCAAATTAAAATCAATAACACAAACCATGCACCTTTAAAATTCATCCACTTACTCCCTATAAATATGTATTAATACTAAAAACAAGCAAGTAAGGCCGCCAACACAAGATGGTCCCTGTGTGATTAACTTAGCCGTTAAATTGAGATTCCCTGACATCCTGACAGCAGACTATGGTCGGAGATCGCTCTGGCAGACTGCTTATAGGCTCTCATTAAGTAAAGAATTCCCCCTGCTCAATGACATTGCATTATTCAGACTCTAAATGTAAATCCCAAATGCTAAAGACACAATATGCTGTATATATATGTGTGTGTTATAGGCGGAGAATATTGATACCAATTCTGTCCAATACTCAGTGGGACGAGCCGCTGTTGAAGACCTCAGGGTGTAATGCGTGCATGGACCAGTGAAGCACATTTGAAATATTTAAAAGATGTAATAAATTAACCACGTAATAGACAATAATGATAACGGATGTAAAACTTATGAGGCAGAATTAATTGGCTCATGTTCTTTCAGCTTCTTGGCATAACTTCCTTCAACACCTACTATAACTGTGTCTTCGTGGTTTTAGCGCCAACACTCAACACTAATCCTTTGTTGCTCTGTAAATGTGGGTTCAAAAGGACCATATCATGTTTTTTATTATGACAGGTTTGCATGTACAAATCAAATGTGTACAAATCATGTGTACAAACTGTTTTTTAAACTGGAGCTATTCCTAATTGAAAATACAATGAACTTGATGTCCATAATATTTATGTTTAGAATTTTCAAGCAGATTATCCAATCAGAGAGCAGAATGAATCTCTTGTTTGGGTTTTCATTTCTATGAGGTCAAATTTAGCTGTTTGTTCTTTTATAAGTAACAAAAATAGAACCACACATTAATCTGAATGAAAGCAGATACAAAAGTAAGTTTTACATAGATATTTTATAGTTTTTGTGCATAAAGGGATTAAGGTTAAGACCTTATTTATTTATTTGTCCCACAGTGGGGAAATTTCAGTGTTGCATCACCACCTGTTAGAGAACGGCAGAGGAGCACACAGCACAAGATTAGCCTGGCCTTAGCCAGTAAACTCTGGTCAAAGATTATTTCCCACATGTCCGTCAGGGTCTGCTCCCAGTGTCTGCAGTTACCTAAGTTGAATCCCCTCCAACCAATCAGCACAGGAGACGGCTGTTGTGAGTAGGTGTAGGTGACGTCAAGAGTTTGCACTGAATTTGCTGCTTGTAGTTTAGCAATGGCGGAAAATTCGATAGGAAAAGGAAGCTCTTCTATCCATTCTGGTTCGGCTCTAAATATCAAGAAATTGAAGCTGGAGCAAGAGGAATGTTGTTTTTAGTTTTAGTGACTCCATGTATGTAATGCACCTAGCATTACATACATGGAGTCACTAAAACTCCAATCGTTTCAATCTGTAAAAGTAGTTAACCCCTCCCACCTGTTAACGGAACTTGATCGGAACAATAACTCTATACTAAAATCAATAAAGTCTCTAACTTTTGCATAATAAGCAAGCAGGAATTAAGTCTGACTTTAGCATA